ATCTCTTTTTAAAAACTGTGTCACTGGGAAAATGATTTTGGAATATAGGCTTAAATAGCGGCTGAAGCTGAATTGTGTGGTATTTTTTTAAAATTAATGTGTATTTTAAATGTTATATGACGTCATCTTACCTTCAATATCTTGTTGACGTTCTGATCCTATCGACATCTCTGTCTGCCACTCCCATTGTTCCACATTTTTTTCCCTCCCCCTTCTAATTAATAAATACTGTTTTTTTTAACCCTCGCGATTTTAACCTTTTACCATTTTAATTCCATCACTAAATTTAAATAAATAACAAGAGTAGTACATTCAATTTTCTTAAAAGTTTATTTATTTAGAAATATTCGTCTTGAAATTTTTATTATTGAGTTTTAAGACTTTTTATCCACCTAACTTTGAATTTGATGGAAATAAAAATAATCCTCTGCGAAATTCACCAATTCAAAAGCTAGGTTGCACTACTTTTGTGGTTGGATTGTGACATTTTTTTACATTTCATTAGTTGAATTTGATGGAAATAAAAATAATCCTCCGCGAAATTCACCAATTCAAAAGCTAGGCTGCACTACTTTTGTGGTTGGATTGTGACATTTTTTTAGTTTGATTTTTTTACATTTCATTAGTTGAGTTTGTTTGAGTAAATAATTTCGTACCAACGTCTCATAAATCTTAATATGAAATGACTTGCAAAATGAGGATGAGCACAACAATATTCAAGTTAGTAGAGGTCTGAATTGTTTACTCCTGATATTTATAAGCTGCCAATGGCTAGATAACTGCCCACGATATATTCTTAGGACATCACGAAGCGGAAAGCAAAGCAGTGGGAGGTGGGTGATTAGATTACCGTTTCACAAATACCTCCAAACTGCCAGTGCTCCCAAGATAATGATGTTCTGATCTCATATGTTGAGACTTACGAAGGTCAAGCACAAGTATGTGACATGTGGCAGATAATTTTCGACCCCTAACATTATGTGATTGATTGGTTAATATGTGAGCATTTATTCGATATAACCTCGAGAAAATACTTATTATCATATTTATTCTAATTTAAGGAAATTAAAAATTAAAATATAAAATTATAAGTCAAATAATATTTTATTATTATTTTAATTAAATAATATAAAGCTTAAAAGTTGAACTCACTCGATGATATATACGTAAATCAGTTGAACTAATACCTACTTAACAAACAATAATTTATTTATATATTATTGTTGTAGTTCAAAAAGAAAATTATTATCAAGTTGAAATTTTTTACTTCTAATTTCTTTTATACTTTAGATTTGGTCATGTCATCATAGTTGGTGTTGCCCAATCAACAGATACCACGTACAAGTTTTTTTATGGTTATTGAATTGGCTTTTGCCTCTTCATTTTCCTCTCCAATACACACATAGTTTTAATTTAAATAACCATATTCAAAATTATTCTAATAAATTTATTTTTAAAAATGATATATTTTATTATTATTACATCAACACAAATACGACATTTCAACTATACATTTGTCTAGCAAACAATCTTATTCTATATAATTTACCCCTCTTTTCTCCCCCGCCCCTAATAAAATTAATAAATTTCTGGGACCCCTTTTTTCCTTTTCATTTTTAATTCCTTTTTTTTTTTTGGATCTCTTAATTTAATCAATAATTTCAAATATTTCCAAAATGTCACAGTGGATATCATGCCGTTTCGCAATTTGCACATAAAAACATTTGTAAGAATGCACGCCCAACACATCTCAAATAAAAAATAAAATTAACACAATTAAAAAATTCGAAAATAGTATTTCAACATGTAAACCAGGTAGCATAAAAAATAATTAAAATAAATAAATAAATAACTGTGGAACGGAACGCCGTCGTTTGAAAATTGAATTTCACTTGCTTGAAAATTTATATAATTTGGAGAGTTGACATCTGAACTTTATTTTATAAAATGTTATCTATCCTAATCGGCGGCCCCCTGCTCCTAAGTCCAATAGGGACGGCTTTGGAGTCGAAATATCGCTGATATTTCAATTATTATTGTTATTATTAAATTAAATAGAAAATTAAGATATATAGTTTCGATTAAAAAGTGGTTTGAATTTCCACTCCATATTAAAAATTAAATGTTATATATTATTTTTTTTGGTTTAAATACTGTTTCTCACTACAACATGTAGGGTGAAGATCAAACTCACAACCTATTGATTTGAAATATATGTCAATCATTGTTAATCTATGCTCGCTTTAGTGGGTTTAAATACTGTTTTGCTTCATATAATTTTCAATTTGATTCATTTTGGTTCATGTACTTTCATTTTTTTTTGTCATTCTACTTTTAAAACGTCGATTTTGGTGCTTGTACTTTAAAAGGTGATCAATTTGGTTTATATTTACAAAATTTCAATACAAATTTTGATACACAATGGAAATTATTTGATTCAAGTTTATGGCCACATTTCAAAAAATTTAGTGAATAAAATGTCGTGGTAAAATTGTGACAGAAATAAAAATAAGATAAAAATAAAAATGAAGAAACAAAAATAATCACTTTTGAGAGTATAAGACTAAATAAACAAGTTGAAAGCACGATAATTAAAATGGATGTTTTGAAAGTAAAGGACCAACGCGAACCAAAATCAAAATACAATAACCGAGATAGTATTTAAACATTTTTTTAGCCGATAAATTATTAAATACTATTACAGAGGTCCAGTCCCCTACTTAGTAATTACTAAACTAAAAAACTATTTATTTTAATTATAAGTGGTAAATATATAATTTGGCTTTTACATTTGCTGTTAATTTTCACTCCACGTAAAAATTATATTTTATTTTTGCTAACCTTTCATATTTATATTGTATTTGTCCCTATGAATGATATTTTAGTTTTTATTGCTAACTTTTGTGAGTTATTTTAATTTTTATATACCGCAGGTAAATATCTACTCATTCTATGGCAGATTTAACTGGAAAGGGGCGACAATGACTAAAATGACTATGCATAATATTTAAAAGTTTAAAAATACAAATAATAAAATAAGTATGAAAAATGACAAAAATGGAATTTAAAACTTAAAATTCGAAATAACATCCGTGTACTTCATTTTGTCCAATCTCATGTATTTACTGTTTTTTCTTTTTGTTTTTTAACTAATTTGGGTCACTTAAAAATTGACCATACGAATACAATACAACTCATCTGAAAAAAAAAATCCATTATAATTTTTTTTCTGGAATATTTAAAATTAATCATTTGATTTCCACCACAGAATTTTGATAGATAGTGCGAGGAAGATCGAACACAAACTCATCTAAATAGAGAAGCTGATAGATTAGATGCGGAATGTTTGAACAATAAATAATCAAAATAATTCTTTTTTTATTTGTAAAAGATAAATTTATTTCCGAGCTATTTTTCTTTTCCCGTTCTTCACTTTCCAACAAAATTTGTAAAATAAAAAACACATTTTTTTTTAATCAAATAGACTCTCATTAATATAAAATTAGAATTCCAAGAGTCAAAATATAAAAAAAATAATAAAAGAGTGAATGTGGACCAAAATTAAAATTCTAAAAGTTGAAGGGTTAATTATTTTGAAAAAAAAAAGAAGAAGAAATAATTTAATCAAAGTTTTTCAGGTGATTAGAGGCTTTATTTAGAATTAATTTTGAATTATTCGATGTCAAAGGGAGGATGAGAAAGTCAACGGAAAATAAAAAACAAAAACAAAAACGTGAGCAGATTGATGAGAAATGAGAATAATTGAGAAGTCAAAGCCCTAGAAGAAAAAAGTAATCAGGATCAACGGATGAAACSGGTYAATGAGAGCCGTTGATTTGCTATAAAAGAAARAGAAAGAGAAAGTCAAGGGCAGGCTTTGGGACGGCCGTGAGGGGCAGGCATAGGTCACTTGATAGTGTCACTCTAACTGATTCTCAACGAAGGAATAATTGGATTTCTTTTTAACTATATCAATAAATATATATTTTTTAAAATTCAACCTTATATTTTTCAAATGATTAATGGGTATAAATTTCGTGTGATTTATTAATTATAATTTTTTGAAATTTCAAATGTTAAAAAAAAATCACTTTTAAGAACCCGAAATAATTTTTTTCCACCAGGAATAGAAATTACAACTTTCTATATGGTACATGTTGATTGTCGTTGCAATGCATGTCGAACATATAATACAATATAGACATTGTAGCCTAGAGCTCCAACTTTTCTTTATTTCTTAATTTCTTTTTTTTTTCCCTTATACATTAAGCTCAAAATTGCATATATTGTAAGATCCATCCACGTGTGAGTATGAAAGATAATTGTTAAAGCTAATAATTGCTCAAATAGATGTCAAATACATAAAAGAAACCTCCCTATAAATAAAGTAAAATT